TGCCCTGGAGCTGGGGGCCATCCCTGCCCTTGACAGTCTCGAGTGGGGGTGGAGGGGGACAGTGAGAGCACCTGTGGCAGGGGACACCCAACCCAGTCGTCAGAGGTGTAGCGTGTGTGAGAGTTGGTCAGGCTGGGAGGCCTTGGGCAGGGCAGAAAGGGAGGAAGAGCATCCTGACGGGAGCCGGTCAGACATGCAGCTGGGAAGGTCAGGTGAGCAGCGAGGCCACGGGCCCCTGCACCCTCGCAGGCCCTGACCCTAGCGGTGCTGCGGCCGCGGAGGCATCATCAGCAAGAACACTGGCATGGGGAAGGGTCTGGGTCTGGTTTCCCTTTTCAGAAATGACTGGCAGCGCAGAGAAGGGTTTGGGAGGGGCCGTGCTGGAGGCAGGGGGCCCAGGAGGGAGGCGGGGCAGGCATGGGGGAGACAGGCAGGTGCCAGGTGGACCTGCCTGCAGAGCTCAGGTGCTGGGGAGGTGAAGGCCTGGGACCCGGCGCTGCATGCATAGTCTGGAGGGTGGGGAGTGTGACTGGCAGTGCATTCTTCCCAGCCCCAGGCCCGCCCAGGCCACGCCTTCTCAGATAGTTCTGCCAGTGTGCGTGGACAGTGTTCGTTGAGCATCCTGCCTCTTGTCCCATTGTGTCCCCACCCCTGCAGGGCCACATAGGGTTCTGAGCACACCAGCCCTTGTCTTACTTTACACAAGGCCAGGAGGCCACAGCCCCAGGAGAGACAAGTGTGGGCGGGAGGGGTGCCCCAGGCCGGTGGGTGGCCCTTGGTGCAGCCTCCACTCAGGGAGCTGTTCTGTTCTCCCCTGGGGTGCTCCACTCCCCCAACCACGCTGAGCCCACACGGCTTCCAAGCAGCCTGCAGGCGGCCCTGGGCCTGCCTCTGTGGCCTGTGTCTCCTCTGTCTTCTAGGTCTGTTTCCCCACCTGTAAAGTGGGACTTGGGCTGGCGCTGCTTGGCGGAGCAGGGTGGACCGAGAATGTTGTGACCAGCTCTCGTCCTCACCACCCACAGGCACCACCTGTGCCGTGCCCGGCGCTACTGCCACGACTTGGGCGAGCGCGCAGAGGCACTGCATGCCCAGGTGGAGCGGTTGGTGCAGCAGGCTGGCCGCCAGCCCGATTCCGCCACCGCCCTCTACCACTTCAATGCCTCTCTCTACCTGCTCCGGGTCTTGAAGGGCAGCACTGCCAAGGGCTGCGTGCGTGAGACACAGGAGAAGCAGAAAGCCAGCACTGACCCCAGCCCCGTGCCCACGGGCCCGCAGGTGAGCAGGGCCTGGCCCAGGAGCAGCCCCAGGAGCAGCCCCAGGCATTTCACAGCCAGGGAGGGGAGGCCGGGACTTCCCCAGGGCCCAACTCTCAGCCTGCTGAAGGGAGGCCAGGCTCTGCTCCCGTCCCAGGGACCCCTCTCCTGGCCTCACCCAGCCCTCTCTCGCCTGGCCTAGGCTGCCAGCTGCTTGGACTTGAACCTGGTGACCCAGGTGTACTCATCAGCGCTGAGCTCCTTCCTGACCAAGCGCAACAGCCCCCTCACAGTTCCCATGTTCCTCAGCCTCTTCTCCCGGCACCCGGTGAGTGTTGGGGCCTGCCCTGCTTACTCAGGGTCCCTGCTCAGCCCAGCCTGCACCTCACAGCCCGTGTCACTCCCCACCAGGTTCTCTGTAAGAGCCTTCTCCCCATCCTGGTCCAGCATGTCACAGGCCCAGTGCGGCCCCGCCATCAGGTAAGAGGCTTCCCAGCTCCCAGCCCAGGGCCTGTCTGAATTAGCCCACTTAACCCTCTTCTGACTGGATATTGTGAGGCCCCAGAGCGCTGCCCTGGTGAGCACGGGCACAGCTGTCCCTGCCCTACTGGCCTGACTGTGGTACACGCTCTCTGATGGGGGTGGCCGTACCCTGGCCCCTGCCACACCTTGAACACAGAAGAGCAGAGGGGGCAGGGCCGGCCTCATTCCTGCAGCCACTGCTGCCTGTCCTGCCACACAGAGGACGCCCCTGGTAGTATCTGCTCAGGTGCCAGGGCTGTCGGGGGCAGGCTAGAGGAAGATGGCATTAAGCCAGTAATGGGCAGGAGTTGTCCCAACCTGAGGTCCCACCTCTGTCCAGCCGGGAGGTCTTGGTGTCCCCCACCTGCACATGAAGGCCTGGGAGCAGGTGGCCACAGAGCCCAGAGCAGCAGGCAGCCTCGCACGCTGCCCACGGCAGCGCCCGGCAGGCCCCGAGCCCTCAGGCGTCCCCGAGCCCTCAGGCGTCCCCGAGCCCTCAGGCGTCCCTGAGCCGTGCGCACCCAATGTGCCGAGGCTCCCACCACCCACCTTTGCCCAACCACAGGCCTGCCTGCTGCTCCAGAAGACCCTGTCCATGCGGGAGGTGAGGTCGTGCTTTGAGGACCCCGAGTGGAAGCAGCTGATGGGCCAGGTCCTAGCAAAGGTCACCGAGGTAACAGCCGGGGGCGCCCCTTTCCCTACCCCCTCAGAGTCCATTCTCTGGGAGAGTTCTCCGATCTCTGGGAGAGAAGTGAGGATTGGAGCCTGAGTCAGGAGTGGGGGGAACTGGGGTTGTCCCAGGAGACGGTCCCTGCCTCTGGGCCCTAGTCCCAGCTGGGAAACAGAAAGGCTTTGAGCCGCTCTCCGGAGCGCCTCAGCCTGGCCACCCTCCCCTAGAACCTGCGCGTGCTGGGGGAGGCGCAGACCAAGGCGGAACACCAGCAGGCACTGTCCTCCCTGGAGCTGCTCAACGCTCTCTTCAGGACTTGCAAACAGGAGGTGAGGCAGGGGCCCAGCCTGGGGTCGTGTTGGGGTTCCTCTTGGGGCCTCGGGGCCCCCTGGGCAGCAGTGCCATGCCCAGGCTGGACTTCGGGGATGGGGGTCACGTGGGGAAATTTCGGAGCGCCTGGGCCAGGGCTCTGGCTTGTCATTTGGGCAGTTACCGAACCATGCATGGGTGAGTGACTTGGGAAGGGACTGTGCCACCCTGTCCTCCTCCTGCCGGGCGGGGTGAGAGGGTGTGGTGCTGTCACATCCACTGAGAAAGCCGAGAAGGGACTGGCAGGGCTGGAGACTGGAAGGGTTGGAGAACATCCAGGGTGGGCAGCCAGGTTTCCAGGCCTGGTGCAGGGGTGTGGGTGGCCATCAGGGCAGGGCCAGGAGGCAGCTGGAGGTGGCCATGTGGGTCCCCTGGTCTGGCCCAGAGGGCAGGGTTTGGGAACGTTCAGCATGGGTGCTAGCAGCCCTTGTGGAGGGGGAGCTTGCCACTGGTGTGCTGGCAGGCAGAGGCGGGGCCCGGGACGGGGCCTCGACACTGGTTGATAGGAAGTCGGGAGAGCAGGGCTCCTGGAAGCCAGCGGATTCCAACAATAACCCATTCAGGATGTGCAGGAAGGTGGCAGGGGTGGGTGGGGAAGGGCTTTGGCAGCCCTGTGGTGATGGAGTGATGGGGAGTTGGCCCTCTTGGAGGTGGGCAGGCCAGGGCCACTGCTGGAGGGGAGGACACCGAGACTCTGAGACCAGGCCTTCGGCTGTGGGAAGGACGAGAACCAACACCTGGGGTGCGTGTTTCCTCCCTCGGTGAGAGACACGGACGACGTAACAGGCAGGAGAGGCTGAGGCCCGGAAAGGGGCAGGGGTCACTGGTGAGGCAGCAGCAGGGCAAAGGTGGGAAGACTGGGAGCCCGGGAGAGGCCCTGCCCTCTGTGGCCCCCACAGCTCTGCCTTCCCACCCTCTGCAGAAGCTGACCTTAGACCTGACGGCGCTCCTGGGCGTGCTGCAGGGGCAACAGCAGAGCCTACAGCAGGGGCCACACTCCACCGGCTCCAGCCGCCTGCACGACCTCTACTGGCAGGCCATGAAAACCCTGGGAGTCCAGTAGGTTCTGGGAGGGGGACGCACACCTGGGCGGGGGCTGGGAACACCCGCACGCTGCTGCACATGTACGTGCTCAAGCGCATGCTCGGATGCGGGAGCCGTAGGCCTCTGGGGCCCCACAGGACCCAGGTGGAGGCGGCGGTGGCTGCTGCCCTCACTGGGCACCTTCTTTCCTTGCTCTCTTCCCTTCAGGCGCCCCAAGTTGGAAAAGAAGGGTGCCAAGGAGGTCCCCAGTGCCACCCAGAGCCCCATCAGCAAGAAGCGGAAGAAAAAGGGATTCTTGCCAGAGACAAAGAAGCGCAAGAAACGCAAGTCAGAGGATGGCACGCTAGCAGAGGATGGCACACCTGCAGCCACCGGCGGGAGCCAGCCCCCCAGCATGGGCAGGAAGAGGAGGAACAGGACAAAGGCCAAGGTCCCGGCCCAGGCAAACGGGACGCCTGCCACCAAGAGTCCAGCCCCTGGCACCCCCACTCTGAGCCCCAGCACCCCTGCCAAATCCCCAGAACTGCAGAAGAAAAGCCAGAAGCCGTCCCAGGTGAATGGAGCTCCCAGGTCCCCCGTGGAACCTGCAGGCCAAAAGCAGCATCAGAAGGCTCTTCCCAAAAAGGGGGTCTTGGGCAAATCACCACTGTCTGCGCCGGCACGGAGAAAGGCAAGGCTGTCTTTGGTCATCAGGAGTCCCAGCTTGCTTCAGAGCGGGGCCAAGAAGAAGAAAGCGCAGCTGAGGAAGGCGGGGAAGCCCTGAGCACAGGCACAGGCACAGGCCACCCTTGGCCCCTGCCTCCATCTGTCTGAGACTCCTATTTTTTTTTTAACCGTGATTTAATAGGCAAGCTGCTTCTAAGGCGCTGGCTCTGCCACTGGGGAGGGTGTCTGTGGCCACCTGCCCAGGCAAGCACAGCCTAAGCCATTCCTGCAGGGGTCCCAGGGTGCAGAGACCTCCCCATCCCGGTTCTGGGCTGGGACCTTGGCTCCAGGGCCATGTCCAGGGCTCTGGTGTTCGCCTGGGTGGGTGCAGGTTGACGCATTGGCTGCAGGCTAGGTACAGGTGTGACCATCACTTCTGCCTGCCACCCCGCCCCCCCACCTCCAGGCCTTTCTGCTGTGAGGGAGCCACCAGGGAGTGATTTAAATAGGTTTATTTCTTCATTTACAAGAGGAATATATTTGGCTTCTCTCTTAAGACTCTGAGATTCACAATCAGCAGCCCTAAAAAATAAAGGAGCAGTTTGGCTTCCGGAAGGAAGAGGAGGCAACACTCGGACCTGGTTCTTGTACAACAAGAAAACATCGCTGGGGCCCCACTGAGGCTGAGGCTGGAGTGGGGGTGGAGGCTGGTCTTTGGGGGATACCACCCCCACCCCATCCTCTTGTCAGACCCCCAGGGTACCCCAGAGCTTGGTGGGTGGGTGTTCCACTAGCTTACACACCACTGAAGCCACAGCCAGCCAGTAACTAAGGGGCAAGAAGAGCATTGTCCAAGCCGGCTCTTGGGGTCTCCTGTTGGCCACAAGGGCCCCCCGCACCAGAACCCCCTTGATTGCAGCAGATGCACAGGGAGTGTGTGACGCAGGAGGTAAGCTCCCCCAAAGCGGGTTGGGGCTGGTGTGAAGTTGGCAGCCGCATCCTGGTGTATGCACGGATGGGACGTGGGTGATCGAAGGCCTGGCCCCCAGGGTCATTTGGTGGAATACCAGCGGGTAGGGGCTGGCGTCTCCCGGGGGCCTCGGCCTCAGCTCTGGGGCAGGAAGCTTTGTGGATAGCTGCTTCCTCCGGCAGCCGGAGCCCTGGCTACTGCCCCACGGATTCTGGGAATGGTCTCCTGGGCCCTGCCCCTGGAAAAGGCTTGGCTCAGCCTCAGGGAGGGAGTGGGTTCCTGGCTTGGGGGGTGGTGGCAGGGAGAGGAGCCCTGCAGAGGTGGGCTGGTGTGTCCCTCCTAGAGCCCTCGAGCCTGGGGGCACAGGTGGTGTACAGCTGAGCCAGGGCCTTCACCCCTGGTGATGCCAGCTTGTCAGAACAGTCCCCATCTGGGACCTCCAGGCTAGGAGCCAACCTGAGATAGTGTGTCCTCCAGAGAGACCAGCCAGGCCAGGGAGTACCCAGCCACTTGGGTGCCCAGCTTCAGTTGCCAGGTTGAGTCCGATATCCTCGAGGTCCGAGGCCCAGCTGAGAAGCAGTGGTCCCGCACACCAGGCCCTTATGTGAGCCTCAAAGCCGGGACTGCCGCCCTGAGCCCTGGGCCACCTGCTGTCTGTAAGGTCCAGGGTCTGTCGAGTCTTCAAAGCTGCAGATCCTGCTTTGCCCAGCAAGTTGTGTGGGAAAGTCCAGCCCCCTGGCCCTTTGTTCCAGGGAGGGCAGGGACTTGCCCAAGATCACATAAGCTGGTGGCAGGCCAGGCTCTCCCCGGACACCCACTTGGGGCTGTCTTCTTTCTTGGCCCCAGGGGCCCTGCAGCCCAAACCTAGGGCTGGGAATCTGTCCAACCACGTGGCTCCAACACACACATCCTTCCAGGGTAACTGAGGACACAGCCTCTTCTTGATGCCAGGGCCACTCAGCAGGCCCCGGCCAGAGAGGGGGGATGCCCAGCCGTGGATCACACACAAAGCTTTGGGGCAGCCCAGCCGGTCCCGGACGCTGTAGGACACCTCCCGGATGAGGTGGGAATGTGAGTTCTTCATTGTCCCAATGGCACCTGGGGAAAGGGGTGTTAGGTAAGAAGTGGGGCTTAGTGAGGCCTATTCCAGGGCTGCCCACCTTCCTTCCCTTTTCTTGCTGTTTGGAGACGCAGGCCTTCCCCTGGACTTGGGGCTGTGACCCTGGCTCTGGTGCTGCTGGGAAGCTATAGCTCCCAGAGGGAAGGTCCAAGGAGTCAGGCCCTGGTACATCTAGGAGGATCTGGGAGAACAGAATTCTGGACAGAGTGGGGAGTTCCTGGCCAGTCCTGGCCCTGACCTATGTGAGGCCCCACCCAGCCCTTGGAAGGAAGGAAAGGGGAGCTCATTTACTGGAAGGAGGAGCCTGCTGTCCCACCCATGGTTCCATCAGTAAATTCTGGCAACATCTTCAGAGACCAAGCCCAGGGTTGGTGGGATGTGCTGGGGCAGGAGGTGACTCCAGAGGAAAAGTGCTCCCTGTAGCCTCACCCTGGCCTTCCCCCTTCCGCAGGGAGCCCCCGCGGGCCTCCCGGCCTGCACTCACCACCTCAGACTTTCACAGATGCGGGCGGCATCACCAGCTGGTTCACCCTGGGGAAGAGACGGGCGGGGGTCAGGGCGGCGCATCAGCGGGGGCCGGGCCCGGGCACTGCTCTGGCACATCGCGTCCTGGGGGCCAGCTGACCGGAGGTGCTGGGCAGGGACCTCGTCAGCCCCAGGGGGAGGTGGGAGAGCCCAGGGGTGGGGAGAGGAGAGAGAGACAGGAGTAAAGAGGAAAGGAGAAAAGTCAGAAAGTAAGAGGAAGGGGAGGGGGTCCCAGCTTTGAAAACCACGAAGTCCAGAGCCACACCCACCTCTGGACCCACCGGACACCCCTGTGGCCCCCACAGCTCCAGGCTGAGCCCCAGAGGCACGGGAAGGCCTGGGGGCTGGACCCCAGCAACCAGGTCACCCACCGGGTGCATGGGAGGTCTGTACCCTCCCCACCCATCCCAGGGCAGGGCTCACAGGGGCTATCACGGTCCCTGCTTCCCAGCAGGCACAGCAGGCCTTCCCTCACCCCCACTCACTGCTGCTCAGCCTTGGCGCGGTCGCTGAGGAAGAAGAGAGCGGTGGCGAGGAAGAACATGCCACCCAGGACCACGACGAAGGGGCAGAGCATGAGCGCGTAGCCCAGGCTCAGGAACTCCCAGAGCGGGGAGTCCTTGGTGCTCTGACGGATCAGGTCTGAGATCTGTGAGGATTTGGGGGTGGATGTCAGGGCAGAGCCCTCCCGAAGCCCCCCAACCTCTCCAGGCCAGCCCCACCCCAGGGTTACTCACAAAGCCAATGAGGTAGGGGCTCCCGGCATCCCCCAGCAGGTGGGAGGTGAAGCTCTGCAAGGCCACAGCAGTGGCCCGCCGGGTGGGGATGACCACGTACTGCGGAACAGGCAGGCAGGTCAGCGGCCAGAGGAGCCAGGCCCACCCGCCTGGCCCCAGCCCATGGCGCTTCTAAAGCCCCCACACCCTCAGACTCTCCCCTGCCCTGGATCTTGACACCTCTCCCTGCTGGGTCCTACCTCCTCCCCACAGTCCCCTCTACTGCCCACCCCCCAGCCTGGCTGCTCCTCTCCCACTAGTCACCCCTCTCCTCCCTGAGCCCCTCCCATCCACACACAGCTGCAGTCACCCCCTCAGCCCCAGGGGCTTCCACACCTCTGACCCAGACCACTGCAGCCTGCCCCAGACCGAAAGCATCACTGGCCTCAAACCCGCTGCGCCCCCAGGACACCCCTCAGAAATGACAATCTTCACCTCCCTCCCAGCTACATGCGGTCAAGGGAGGATACTTTGGGCGTTGCGTGGGTGCCAGTCACTAGAGACCATTAGCCCAGAGCCCTCCAAGCCTCAGAGTACTGGAGACGTCAGGAACGGCCGTGCCGCCTTCCTGGCGTGGCTCCTGCTCCATTCCTGAGACCAGGGTGCCTTGGCTTCTGCCCTTGGCCCTGGGTCATGGGGACACTGAGGTCCAGAGAGGCACATGTTCCCGAGGGAACCCGAACCCCAGCCGTGGCCATTTGTCCTCACCTCCCAACAAGCTAAAGACCCATCTCGGTTCCTTCCCCTCCCTGAAGACCAAGTGAGGCCTCGACTGGTCTGGGACGGGAGCTGGTGAGGCAGGACCCTCACCCATGGGCACCCTCAGCACTGAATGCCAGGCCCTGCTGGGCCCCAGACCCACAGGAGCTTCGCTTCAAAGCTGGGCAGGCCAGAGTCAGGAGGGGCTGGGGTGGAGGTGGGATAGGCACAGCCAGCTCTGTGGGTGCCCAGGCAGCCCCTGTGCCCTGAACTCCGGCTGCCTTGCCTCCTTGGAGCGCCAGCCTTAGTGGGCATTGTGTGCAAGCAGCCAGCACCCACGGGGCATCCCGTTGGGGGAGGAAGGGGTGGGTAGAAAAAGACCTGAGCCTGATGAGACGAGTGGCCCCATTTCCAGCAGGAATGAACTGTGACACTTAATAAACTGGGACACGATTTCCCTGGGACCCTGACCCTGCCGTTGTCAGGGGCTCCCTGGGGGTGGAGGCAGGGGAGGGGTCCTGTCCAGCACCAAGAGCACCTGATCCGCAGACTCACTCCTCCCTTCACGCTGGGCCTGTGCAGTGACCCTGGCACACCCCTGCCACCGCCCCAGCCCATGGACTCAGGAGGACACAGTGGCACCCCGGGGGTAGCGGATATGCTGGGAGGCTTCCTGAAGTGCCTCTGCAGAGCCAGCAGGGGCCGCAGTGCCTGGCAGACTCATCTGCGGGGCTATCCCATGCTGGGGCGCCCAACCCCGTGCACCCTGAGAGTCCACCCCTGAGTCCTTCCTCTCTCTGCCCCAGAGCCTGCCCCGACACCTCCCAGATACTCTCCCCTGGCCACGGGACCAAGTGTCACACCCCTGCCACCCCCAGATGGCCACAAATCCCTAGCCCCACTCCTGGCTCCTCCCAGAGTGCTCCCATCCCCACCCAGGGACCCAGGCCCCTGCTGGCTGCTCAGACAGCCCTTTGTCCCTGGCTGGCTGGTCTAGAGCCCATTGTTGGCCCTGTGAAGACAGCCTCTGTCCACCCGGCCCCAGCCACAGGCACGCCTGGGAGCCAGGCTGAGCAGGGAGGGCAGAGCCCATGGATGCTCAGACCCGGGGGGGCGGGGTGGGAGGAGTGCTGGCAGGCACCACCTCAGTGCCAGCCTGGCACTGCCAGCCTCCCAGACACTAACCTGAGCCTCAAGACACCCTCTCCTACTTGGTCCCCACATCTCTGCCTGCCTGCCCAACCCTATTTTCCTGCCCTGTCCGGAGGTAGACCCCAAACTCTGATCCCCTCCCTGCCTCTGGGTTCATATTCCTGGCAGGCCTGCCTTCCCCACCCCCCACCGGCCCTCCCCAGCCACCCCTGTGAGGTCAAGAGGCCTGGGTCCGCAGCACAAGGTGACCTCGGCCTGCCTGGCTCACCATGAGGATGTCTGCAGTGATGGCCCAGTTAGAAAACAGCAGCGTCTCCCCGACGAAGATACAGATCTGCCCAGGAAAATGCAAAGCCACCATCAGGGGTGCCTCCATCCACAGCAGCTGCAGCCTGCTCCCTACACACTGGCTGCCGGCAGGGAGCCCACGAATCCTCACCCCTCCCGGGCCCACATCCATTCATGGGCTAACCAGAGACCAAGCCATCCCCGCGGCCCTGAGGCACCCAGAGGCCCTGGACAGGCCGTGGCCAGGCTGAGGATGAGCAGGGGCACCCAGAGATAAGGAGCCTCCCCAAGGGAAGGGAACGTCCAGCAAATCAGACCAAATGTCCTATTCCAGACCCTCCCGTGGCCCAGGTCCAGCTTCCCGGCACCCTTGCCCCTGCACTGCACTCACATAGGCCCCTACGATGCTGCTCTTGGCAGCCACGAAGATCAGGCAGATAAAGATGGCAGAGCCCAGCATGCCCACAGCACACACCAGTGGGTCGGCCCGCTGGGTCTTCAGGCGGCACCAGCGTGTGGCTCCTGCACCCGTGACCACACCCAGAAAGCCCGTAAAGCAGGTGATGGCCCCAAAGATGAGGCTGTGGGGACAGAGGACAGTGGGGCATGAGTTGAGGGGGCTAAGGCTGAGGAGCTCTCCTGTCCGAGGTCCCTCGCCAGACCCGGGCCCACCCCGTGGGGCCCCACCTGTCCTTGGCTCCACAGGGCGGGCTGTTGCACGTCTCCGCTGTCTTCTGCACAACTTGGGCGCGGTGCAGGTAGAGCGGGATCCACATGCCCAGGGCCCCTGTGGCGAAGGAGACAGCCGACGTGGCCAGGGAGGAGAAGACGTAGCTGCGGCTGGGGAGAGGCCAGGCAGTGACACTGAGCTCAGGGACCTCCTTCAGCCCCCATAGGCAGCCCCATGCACTGGGGGACAGGAGGCCCCGAAATGCCTCGTCTTACAGGCTCCAGGGGTGGCGGTTCGGGCTGTAGGAATAATCAATTCTAGGGGCCAAAATGTTCCCCCCTAGCACTGAGACAGCAGAGGTGGTGGGGTGCCCTGCAGGGAGAGGCCCTCTCATCTCAGCACCCCTCCCTCTTCCCACCAGACCCCTTCCCACGGTACTCACTTTCGAATCAGGGCCTTCATATCTCGGAGCCATGAGGTCCGGGTCTTGAGCTGGTCCCCGAGCTGGTCGGCGTGGCCCCTTTTAGTGGCCGGGACCAGGATGAGGATGAGTGTTCCTGTGATCATGCCCAGGACAGGGGACACCTGCCAGGGAGCAGGGAGTTAGGACACCAGGGCCCAGTGAGCCTCGTCCCTGCAGCAGAAGGAGGGACTCGGGCAAGCCGTGCCTTCTCTAGGCCCTAGGGGTCTCCTCTGAGCTGGTATCTGCCCAGTCTTCCCAACTGGGCTGCTGAGAAAAGCTGGGGCTGAGGTCAGTCAAGAGACTGGAGGCTTGAGAAGGACTGTCCAGACCAGGGGCAGGACCAGAATGGGGAGGGTACAGGGAAGCTGGACAGACTGAAGGAAGAAGGAGGGGTGGGTGAGTGGAGCGGTGGATGGATGGATGAAGAAGAGATAGCTAAAGAGGTGGATGGAGAGATGGACAGAGAGGGAGGGATGGACAGACGGATGGATGGACAGATGAATGGAAGATAAGTAGATAGCCGGATGGGATGATGACTTTCAGGGAGGAGGTAATTCCTGGAGAAGGTTCCCCACATAGGTTCCTCAGTCACGGGGCCCTGGGAAGGTGCTGTCCGGGTATGAAGTGTTGGACTGACAGATCAGGCGGGCAGGCATTTGGTGGGGGGGCCCATGCAGGCCCCACAGAGGCTCATGAGCCCTTTTGGCTCTTCCCTGTGTCCAGCCCATTTTCCAGAACAGAACTTCCAAGGCCCCAGGCTTCTCTCCGGATGGGAGGGTGACATCCTGGCAGCCTGGATTCCATCTCGCCAGCCCCACAGAACAGACTGGGAGCCCCTGGGCTGGGGAGTTCCTCTGCCTGCGGCCTCCCTCCCCCCCCACCTGTCCCCCTCCCACACTAAGAAATTCCACGGAGGCCACTTCCTTCCTGCTTTTAGGAAAAAACACTTTGTCTTAAGCTTCCGCTCCTCTGAGAGACTGGGGATCTCTGTTTCCTCCGATTGCACTGGCCTGGGGCCTTGGTAACTTGCCCCAAACCCAGCGAGACAGGAAGTGGCTCCAGACCCCGGGGCCCCCACACAGAGGTCTTGTCCCAGCCTTACCCTAGCACAGTGCCAGGGCTGGAAGCAGGAAGCTCCGCCATGGACCTGGAATTTCCTGACGTGGTGGGAGAATCCTTGATTCTCTCAACCTGGGACTCCCGGGCGGGAGATTCCAACCCTCAGCATGAGGGGCCCTGAGGGTGGCAGGGCTGTGTCTGGCTCTGACACCTCAATCTGGACTCATCTGGAAGGGCAGGGATTTCAGAGTCCAGGCAGCTGGGGGAGGAATCCTGGAAGTCTGTGTCCTAGCCTGGGATACAGCTCTGGGCAACCCTGGGGTGAGATCTGGACTGAAGAGTGTCCTCGTGGGAAGGGACGTAGGCCTTACCCGCAATGCCCAGTGCCAGTCTCCGGCTGCCTGCTTCACACTGGAGCCAGTGATGTAGCCCAGGCCACTGCAGAGAAGAGAGACACGTCAGGCTGAGCAGAGACAGGGGCTGGGGACAGGGAGTGCCTGCTGGTCTGCAAGGCAGGCTGCCCACCCTCCCCACCCAGCCAGCTGGCCAGGGAGCAGGTCCAGGCATTTCTCAAAGGCTGACCACCTACATGTTTAGCTCTCTGAGGGCGCCCACCTGGGCCAGAACCCCAGGGAGTGGGAGCACTCAGAAGTCCAAGGGAACCTTGCCCAGATCCTCACCCAGCCCCTGGCATCTCCGGCTCTCACCTGCCCAGTGGGATGGCGAAGTAGAAGACGGACAGCATGAGCGTACGCGTGTTCTTGGTGAAGAGGTCGCCAATGATAGTGGGGGCAATGGTGGAGTAGCTGGCCTCACCGATGCCCACCAGCCCCCGGGACAGGACCAACAGCCAGAAGTACTGTGGGGAGGGGTGGAGGATGCTGAGGGACCAGCTACCCATTGTCTGCCTCTCATCCTTTGTTCCCACTTTGCTCCCTCCCCCTGCAGGGCCCAGGAGCCAGGAGAGAGAAGGGTGAGGGTGCTGGTGGGCTGCACCTCCGTAAAGACCACCTCCCCCGGCCACTCCGGGCCTCAGTTTGCCCCTCTGTGTAGTGGGTCTGACGGGGCCAGGACTATCCCAGCTTGAGAGTGGTATGGCCCAGGCAGGCCCCTCTGTCCTCATAGGCACTGGGGACACAAGCCTATGTCTCCACTACTCCACCAACTGGGAGACCTCCTCCCTGGTTCTGACTCCACATCGGGAGCCTCAAGCCACCACCCTCCACTCTGTCCCTCCCCCAAGCCGGGTGGCTGGGCCAGCCCTGGCAGCACTGAGGGACCAGTGGGGAGTGGGGAGGGGGCAGGGAAGCCCAGGGGACCCAGAACCCCTCCCCCTATACACATCAAAGGGCAAAGCCTGGCTGAGCGGGGAAGGGTGGGGCCCTGCCAGCTGCTGGTAGCATGACCCCTTTGATGTGGACCTGCTCCCTCCATGCCCCAGCTGCCCGGGGCCTGAGAACCCAGCCTGGTCATCTTTCCCCAGCCCCACCCCGGCCACCCATCTGGCCAGCATCGCCCACGTCCAGCCCTCCCCTGGGTCTCCCTGACTTCCCTCCATCTGCTCACCACGCTCCTGGCTGCTGTGCCTGCAGGTGCTGCCTGCGTTGGCCCATCTCTGACCTCTTCATGCTTGTCTCTCCTCTTCCTCCCTCTCCCCATCTCCCTATTTGCCCTTAGCTCCTCGCCTCTGTTTCTCTTCCTGGCAATCACCTGCCTACAGCCTTGGCCTGTTTTTCTGTTGGGTCATTTGTCTCTTTTGCATTAATTTCTATTTCTTTTCTTTCTTTCTTTTTTTGAGACAGAGTCTTGCTCTGTTGCTCAGGCTGGAGTGCAGTGGCGCCATCTCACTTACTGCAACTTCTGCCTCCCCTGGGTTCAAGTGATTCTCCTGCCTCAGCCTCCTGAGGAGATGGGATTATAGGCACCCAGCACCACACCCAGCTAATTTTTGAATTTTTGTAGAGACGGGGTTTCGCCATGTTGACCAGGCTGCTCTTGATCTGCCTGCCTCTGCCTCCCAAAGTGCTGGGATTACAGGCGTGAGCCACCACATCCGGCCCTCTGTGTACTTTTAAAGAACAAACATGAGGCTGGGCACGGGGGCTCATGCCTTATAATCCCAGCACTTTAGGAAGCTGAGGCAGGAGGACTGCTTGAGGCCAGGAGTTCGAGACCAGCCTGGGTAACATAGCAAGATCTTATCTCTACAAAAAATTTGAAAATAAGATAAAAATCAGGCCAGGCATGGTGGCTCACGCCTGTAATCCCAGCACTTTGGGAGGCCAAGGCAGGTGGATCACAAGGCCAGGAGTTCAAGACCAGCCTGGCCAAGATGTTGAAGTCCCTTCTCTACTAAAAATACAAAAATTAGCCGGGTGTGGTGGCGGGCGCCTGTGATCCCAGCTACTGGGGAGGCTGAGGCGGAGGTTGCAGTGAGCCAAGAGCACCATTGCACTCCAGCCTGGGTGACAGAGCAAGACTCCATTTCAAAAAATATATATGGCCGGGCACGGTGGCTCAAGCCTGTAATCCCAGCACTTTGGGAGGCCGAGACGGGCGGATTACGAGGTCAGGAGATCGAGACCATCCTGGCTAACACGGCGAAACCCCGTCTCTACTAAAAAATACAAAAAACTAGCCGGGCGAGGTGGCGGGCGCCTGTAGTCCCAGCAACTCGGGAGGCTGAGGCAGGAGAAAGGCGTAAATCCGGGAGGCGGAGCTTGAGATCCGGCCACTGCACTCCAGCCCAGGCGACAGAGCCAGACTCCGTCTCAAAAAAAAAAAAAAAAATATATATATATATATATATATTTTAATATATATATATTTTAATATATTTATATATATATTTATATGTACGTCAGTAGGACATCATGGTGCATCCTAGCTACTTAGGAGACTGAGACAGGAGGATCAATTGAGCCCAGGAAGTCAAGCCTGCGGTGAGTTAAGATCACACCACTGCATATCAGCCTAGGTGACAGAGCGAGACCCGGTCTCAAAAACACATTTAAGGCTGGGTGTGGTGGGCTCACACCTGTAATCCCAGCACTTTGGGAAATCAAGGCAAGTGGATCACCTGAGGTCAGGAATTCGAGACCAGCCTGGTCAACATGGCGAAACCCCGTCTCTACTAAAAATACAAAAATTAGCTGGGCATGGTGGCAGGCGCCTATAATCGCAGCTATGCGGGAGGCTGAGGCAGGAGAATCGCTTGAACCTGGTGGTGGGGGAGAAGGTGGCAGAGGTTGCAGTGAGCCAAGATTGCGCCACCGCACTCCATCCTCGGCGAAAGAGCGAAACTCTGCCTCAAAACAAACAACGTTTAAAAATCAAATGAACATGAAAGGAAACCCTCCACGCATCTTATCCTGTAACCTGCTTTTGCCCCCTCGTTCTTATTTTTTTGAAACCCATTTATGCTGGTTAATTAAGTTCTAGTTCATTCTTTTCCTATTGAGTCTCACAGGGCCGGGCACGGTGGCCCACGCCTATAATTCCAGCACTTTAGGAGGCTGAGGTGGTAGGATCCCCTGAGGTCAGGAGTTCGAGACCAGCCTGGTCAACATGGTGAAACCCCATCTCTACTAAAAATATAAAAATTAGCCGGGTGTGGTGGCGGGCGCCTGTAATCCCAGCTACTTGGGAGGCTGAGGCAGGAGAATCACTTGAACCTGGGAAGTGGAGGTTGCAGTGAGCCGAGATTATGCCATTGTACTCCAGCCTGGGCAACAAGAGCAAAACTCTGCCTTGGAAAGAGTCATATATACCATTAAACTGTGCACACCAGTGATGGTCATTTAGATTGCTTTCTATCTTTTTTTTTGCTATTACTGTTCTTCTTACATGCATGATTCTACAAGCTGGAGTTTCTCTCTTGAGTGTATACCCCAAGCAGAAGGCTGGGCCATGGGAGAGACACAGAGTTTTACAATATCCTGCCATTTCGCTCTCCAAAGAGGTTCTACCAATTTACACTCCCACCAGCAGGGCTGGAGTCCCCGATTCCCCACAGCTTTGATCACACTTGGTACTGTCAGCCTTTTTAATTGTTGCCAATCTGACGGGTGTGAAATGGGATCTCATTGTTCTAATTTGCATTTCCCTGATGACTAGAGAAGCTGAGCACTGTCTCTTCCTACATGTATTGGCCATTTGGGTATTTTCTCCTGAAACGGTAGCTATCCCTTGCCCATTTTTCTACTGAGTTATTTGTCTTTTTCTTGTTGATTCATAGTTCTAGATTTTTTTTTTTTTTTTTTTTTTTTTTGAGACAGAGTCTCGCTCTGTCATCCAGGCTGGAGTGCAGTGGCATGATCTTGGCTCACTGCAAGCTCCGCCCCCCGGGTTCACACCATTCTCCTGCGTCAGCCTCCAGAGTAGCTGGGATTACAGGCACCTGCCACCACTAAAAAGTAGCCCGGCTATTTTTTTTTTTTCTTTTTTTTGTATTTTTTAGTAGAGACGGGATTTCACCGTGTTAGCCAGGATGGTCTCGATCTCCTGACCTCGTGATCTGCCCGTCTCGGCCTCCCAAAGTGCTGGGATTACAGGCATGAGCCACTGCACCCAGCTTATCGTTCTAGATTTTAAGAGCATGCTTTTTGCTTTACTTCCCCCTTTTGGGACTTTATTCTGCAGGATGGTTTATTCTACAGGCCAAACTTTTCTTTCAATCCAGTTGGATAGACAGTTCTTCCCAAACCACTCATCTGAGATGCACCTTTCATCCTATGCTAAATCCCCGTAGACATGAGGACTCTGGCTCACTGATCTTAGTCCAGCCCTCTGCTGTTTTAGTTAGAATCGCTGTATTTTGATAACTGAGAGGCAAATCCCCTTTCACTGTTATTTTTTTCACAATGTTCTTGGCTATTCCTGGGCATTTTCTCTGCCAAATTAACTTCAGAATCACATTGCCAAGGTCTACCAGAAACCCCCATGGGATGCAAATTGTGACTGCAATGAATTTATGGCTTCACTGGAGGTGACCTGTTTCTCTCTCTGCCTTTGCTTATCTTCCCTCCCCTTCCACACACCCAGAGATGGACCCAGACCTGGCATGGTGGTCCTAGACTTGCTGGTCCTAGACTTACTGGTCAGTCCCAGGAGCAGCCTCAGAGGTTGGTGACCAGGGGCCTGGCCAGGGGCAAGATGAGGCCCTGAGGGGCCCTAGAGGCCTCTGGTCCAGTCCGTCCTTTTGACTGTGGCCGCCAGGCTCTGCTTGCCATCCTGGGCCTGGAGCTTTACCTGACCTGACCCTCTTCTGTGAAGCTGCCCATGAAGCAAGGATGTCCTTGGCAAACCTGCTGATTGTCTCTGCCCTCCCTCCAGTGTCCCTACCATCAACCCAAATCTGATCCCGCCACTGTTCTTCGAACTTTTCCAGAGCTCAGCACTGCCACAGAAGGAAGCCCAGGCCCTCTAGCCTGGCATTCAAGGTTCTCCATGACCCAGTCCCTGCTTTCTTTCCAGTGAGAATGCAATCCTCAAGCTTTCTTTTTTTTTGAGATGGAGTTTTGCTCTTGTCACCCAGGCTGGAGTGCAGTGGCACGATCTCTGCTCACTGCAACCTCCACCTTCCGGGTTCAAGCGATTCTCCTGCCTCAGCCTCCCAAGTAGCTGCGATTATAGGCATGCACCACCATGCCTGGCTAATTTTTGTATTTTTAATAGAGATGGGGTTTTCACGTTGGCCAGGCTAGTCTCGAACTCCTGACCTCAGGGGATCCACCCGCTTCGGCCTCCCAAAGTGCTGGGATTACAGGCACGAGCCATCGCACCTGGCCCAATCTTCAGCCTTTCAACATACTCCACCATTTCTGCATCTGTGGGTTGACTCCCTCTGCCCATGCTACCTTCACCAAAAGGTCTAATCTCACAGTCCCGCCTGCCCAGTGCAAATGCCACCTCCTCTAGGAAGCCTTCCCTGACCCCATGGATTTCAAGAGACTGCTGTCTCTTTAGTGAGGACTCTCAGCACTTTTTCTGCACCTCTTGAAGGCTCTGAGCACAGGTGCTCCTGTCAAATCTTCCTACCCCGAAGCCTAGGTGCTCCCAAGGACAGGGCTATCCTGAAAGCTCTGTGAAGACAGATCATGCTCTCCCCTTCTTCCTTCATCTTTCTCTACAGCAGTCATCATGTGATTGCCACTGACTGCTTGAATATGCCTCGAGATGGGAAACTCACTACCTAATAAGGCAACGGTCTCATCTCTGGAAGGAGGAACAGAAACAATGACTCGCTGGGCACTCGACCTGTTCCAGGGTCTGGACCTTCACAGCTCAGCTGCTTCTCATGGGAAACCTTCGAGTTGGGAAGTATTATCCCCATTTTAAAGATGAGGAAACTGAGGCTCAGAGAGATTAAGAGTACGTTCTTCCAGATCACAAAGCTGAGTAGGCAACAAAGTCGGGATATTCAAGCCCAGGCCTGTGGGAGCTAAATGAGAAGACTCTTGTTTGTGCTGAATTGATGTTTGCTTCTCTGGGACGTTGACCCAAGAAGTTAGCTGGTCATCAGACCAAGTACAAACTGAGCAAGAACCAGAGAGGGGTAGTGACTCCCCCAGGGTCACAAAGCCAGGTAATGGCAGAGCCAGGACTAGGACACAAGGCCCTCACTCCTAGGCCAGACTTGTTCTTTGCATCCATCCCAAATCAGAGGGCCACTCAGAGTCAGGAGCCCACATGGGCTGGAAGGCTCTCAGGTCAGAGGCCAGTGTGGGGAAGGCCCCAGCTACAGGACTGGTTTACAAAAGTACCCGAAGGCCACCTCATCCTTCTGCACCGGGAAGACAGTGGGGTTCAAGCAGAGGAGCTGGAAGCCCCGGGCTGGATTAACACCAGCTAGTAAGACTAGCCACTCGCCGGAGGGAGCAGGACACCGGTCGGGGGAGAAGCCTGGGCGGGCCTCACCTGCTGGGGAATGAAGGAGCTGGAGAAGGTGACGGCCGACCAGAAGAAAATGCCACAGCTGAGAATCACCTTCCTGTTGAAGCGGTCGCCCAGGTAGCCGAAGATGGGGGCAGCCACCATGAAGCTACAGATGAACACTGCAGGGAGAGGAGAGCTTGAGGGCCAGCCCAGGTCCCTGCACCCCAGCCTCCCGGCCCATTTCACGCCGGCTCGAGGCCAAGCGTCTGTGCAGCAAAGGGACCAAGAAAGCAGCCCAGAGAGGCAACCTCAGCCCGAGCTGCACCTCAGGAAGGTGAGAAAGGCCTTCCGAGGTCAGGCACGTCCATGATGCCATCCTCTCCCATGTCTGTCCAGTTTGCCCAGTTTGTCCAGGTTTGGGTGAGCCCTTTGGGTACTTTTTAAAAGAGCAAAGATCTATTTATTGAATGTTTTCTACACGCCAGACACTATGCTAGGGACTTACCATGTTGTATCTCACTTATCTTTTAAAAATTTTTTTGGGGGGCCGGGCGCGGTGGCTCAAGCCTGTAATCCCAGCACTTTGGGAGGCCGAAACGGGTGGATCACGAGGTCAGGAGATCGAGACCATCCTGGCTAACACGGTGAAACCCCGTCTCTACTAAAAAATACAAAAAACTAGCCGGGCGAGGTGGTGGCGGCGCCTGCAGTCCCAGCTACTCAGGAGGCTGAGGCAGGAGAACGGCGTGAACCCGGGAGGTGGAGCTTGCAGTGAGCTGAGATTCGGCCACTGCACTCCAGCCTGGGCCACAGAGCGAGACTCTGTCTCAAAAAAAAAAATTTTTTTAATTTTTATTGTTTTGAGACAGGGTCTTGCTGTGTCACCCAGGCTGGAGTGCAGTAGCATAATCTTGGCTCACTGCAACCTCCATCTCCTGGGTTCAAGTGATTCTTAACCCTTAGCCTCCTGAGTAGCTGGCATTACAGGCATGGGCCACCACGCTTGGCTAATCTTTATATTTTACTAGAGATGGGGTTTTGCCATGTTGGCCAGGCTGGTCTCCAACTCCTGGGCTCCAGTGATCCGCCCACTTCGGCCTCCCAAAGTGCTGGGATTACAGGTGTGAGCCACTGCGTCCAGCCATATCTCATGTATCTTTGTATCTCATGTATCATGTACCTTTCCAGCCCCCTCCCACCCCACAGATGTGGAGACACACTCAGAGGAAGAGCGACTTGCCCAAGACCCCCCAGGCAATATGTTCCAGCGGGGATCTGACCCCAGTTGCCTGACTCCAGAGCCTGTGTTCCTTACATGTTACCACACTGCACTTCTTATTCTACTTGGGAACAGAGGTCAGAGAGGGGAAGGGATCTACGCAAGGTCACACAGCAAATCAGGGCAGAACTGGGCCTGGAACTCCCGATTTCACACTTGCCAGACCACACAGCTGCCCTCGCTCCCAGCACACTGCAGGACCTTTCCTAATGGCTGAAAACACCGTCGTCCATCCGTCCATCCTGTCATTCAACAACAACAATTTTTTTGTACCTACAAGGCACCAGGAACCGTTTTAGGTGTTCAGGACACATCAATGAACAAGAGAGACCCCATGGAGCTCTCACTCGAGTGAGGAGAAACAGACATTAAAGAAATAAACAAATCAATAACACAGCCTGTTGGACGGTGGGAGGGGCTGACACAGGAGCTTGGAAGGGTGTGTGTGAGAGCAAGTGGATACCACAATTTTACATTTTTTTGAAACAAGAGTCTCACTCTATCACCCAGGCTGGAGTGCAGTGGCACAATCTCGGCTCACTGCAACCTCCGCCTCCTGGATTCAAGTGATTCTTCTGCCTCAGCCTCACGAGTAGCTGGGATTACAGGCATGTGCCACCGTTCTCTGCTAATTTCTGTATTTTTAGTAGAGACGGGGTTTCACCATGTTGGCCAGGCTGGTCTCCAACTCCTGACCTCAGGTGATCTGCCTGCCTCGACCTCCCAAAGTGCTGGGACTACAGGCGTGAGCCACTGCGCCTGGCTGAGAGAAATTGATTGATATAGGTAGCTTAGCTGGTGTTTTGTTTGCGAGATGGCGTCTTGCTCTGCTGCCCAGGTTGCTGGAGTGCAGTGGTACGATCTCCGCTCACTGCAACCTCTGCCTCCCAGGTTCAAGCAATTCTCCTGCCTCAGCCTCTTGAGCAGCTGGGATTACAGGCACCTGCCACCACGCCCAGCTAATTTTTGTATTTTTAGTAGAGACAGGGTTTTGCCATGTTGGCCAGCCTGGTCTCAAACTCCTGACCTCAAGTGATCTACCTGCCTCGGCCTCCCAAAGTGCTGGGATTACAGGCATGAGCCACTGCACGCGGCCACCACAATTTTAAAGAGAGCAGTCAGAGAAGGGGATATTTCAGCCAGGACCTGGAGGAGGTAAGGAAACAAATCATGCAATTATTGGGGCAAGAACAGCAAGTGCCTATGCCCTGGGGCAGGAGTTTACTTAGCATGTTGGAGGAACAGGAAAGAGGCTGGGGTGGGGCCCCGGAGCCCACTGTGATGACTGTGACGTCCATGGGTGAGAAAGGAAAACATGAGGGGATGCTGAGCAAAGGCCGTGACCTGGCTTTGTTCTTCCAGAACAAGAGGTTTAGGAAGACTCCACAGGGAGGCCACTGCCAGTGATGGGAGGGGCCTGGGAGGTCCCAGGTGGGATGAAGAGGCCCAGAGCAAGGCAGGGTAGACCCTAGGTCACACAGCGAGGTGGCCCCCTATTCCTCCCGCTAGAAAGCAGTCCCATAGCTGATGGGCAGATGGCCAGACAAAGGCTGGGAGCGGCAGACATGGCAGCCAGTTGGCCTCTGACCGCCAGGCTGAATGTGTGAGTAGCCCCGGCTGCTCCTCCATGGGCCTGAGACCCTGGCGAGATGCGACCTGAGAGAAGAGAAAGAGGGAGGGAGGGAGGGAGGGAGGGAGGAGGAAGAGAGAGAGGTGAAGGAGAGGTGAGAGGGCTGGGCAGAGCTCCGCTGAACCTGGCTGGAGGAGTGACTACCCCTCTCTTACGCGAGCAAGAACAGGTCAGCGAGTGTGCATGGGTGGTGGGTGTGCAAGCAGACCTGTTAATTCCAGAGGCCTTGGGTAGAATCAGCATGCGGGTGCACAAATCCGGGCATGAGACACACACCCTGGGCTCAAATTCACCTCTGCTCCCTCCCGGCCAGTGACCTCAGTCAGGCCACAGCCTTTGTGTGTCTCACCTTCAGTGGTGTGCTGATAAATGTTTAACTGGCTCTGAAAAAGGGGCAAGGGGAGCCCTGATGTAGCATGTTTGCTTTTTTTTTTTTTTGAGATGGAGTTCTGCTCTTGTCGCCAGGCTGAAGTGCCGTGGCGCCATCTCAGCTCACTGCAACCTCTGCCTCCCAGGTTCAAGCGATTCTCTTGCCTCAGCTTCCCGAGTAGCTGGGATTATAGGTGCCTGCCACCATGCCCGGCTAATTTTTGTATTTTTAGTAGAGACGGGGTTTTGCCATGTTGGCCAGGCTGGTCTCAAACACCTGACCTCAGGTGATCCTCCTGCCTCAGCCTCCCAAAGTGCTGGGATGACAGGCGTGAGCCACCGCGCCCGGCTGTGTTTGCTCATTTCTGTGGTGTAAACACTCCGCCCTGGCTGAGTTCAGGCTGCTCACATCATGTCACTGATGGGCGTTGGAAAGGGATGTGCAGAAACATCCCATTGTCCAGTGTTTCTACCACACAAATAGAATAGACGCCACTCACCATAGGAACACAGATAACGCCAAACACAGCCAAATAATTAGGAAGTGAGGACTTTTGAGTAGTTATTACCTTTGTTTCTGATTATTTAATTGTAAGCTGATATCATTTAGTTTTTAACAATGGTTGTATTTTACGACCAGCTCACACACCATTCCTGAAATGTTAACAATTGACTCTCACGAGCCGGCCCGAGCCAGCGCCAACATCCTCGTCTGTAAAATGAAGATAAAAATAGCCACTCTCCAGGGTGGGTCTGGGTGCTGGATAGCACGTGCAAGGTGCTTAATGCCACACCCTGCCCAGAGCGGGCCGGCCTTGGTCAACACTGGGCCCTTGTTTAAATTAGTCAAGGCAGAAATTATTTCCTCACATCTAGAAAAGGAATTTTTCCTGCTGGGCCTGCCTCCAAGGGCCTGCCCGAGATCAGATCAGAACGTGGCAGGAGGGAGATTTCCAATTGCATCAGGACTGACACATGTGAGGAGGAGGAGGAACTGTTTTCTCTGTGCTTGTCTGTGCTAGGTGGGGAGCGGACAGAAAGAATCAGAAGAGAATTTGCCCCCTGTCTGGTCAGCGGCAGATCCTGTTCATAGGTTGCTCTGTTTAAAGGACAACCTATGCTGGGGAACCACCAAGGAGCTCCAGATCCTGCCAGGATAATGAAGAGAGGCTTCCTGGAGGTGGTGGCGTCAAAGTTGGGCACTGAAGCATGCATAGAAGTTTACTGTTACAATAATACTTAACATCAATAATACACACTGAGATATAAACTTCAGATCTTACGAGCAATATTATATAAAGGCTCATGAGGCATCTGATGCTTACTGTTCATAATAACTGCAGTCAGTTATCATGGAGCACTTATTATAGGCAAGGCCCAGGATGCAGACTTGACATATGCACAGATGATGTCACTGGGTTCTGTTCTCTTCATTTTACGGAGGAGACAATAGAGGCCAAAAGAAGTGATGTCACACAGCCAGTGTGCGGCTGAGCCAGAATTTAAACCCCAATTTGGCAGACTCCAGAGTCCTTGCTCTAAATCACTCCACAGACTGCCATGCTGGGAAGGGGGAAGGTCCCAGCTGATGTTCCCAAGGTCAGGGAAAGTTCAGGGCCTGTTGAGGACAGCAAGGAGACTGGTCAGGCCATGGCCTGAGGATGCTGAAGAGGAAGTAGCGAGAGACCAGGCTGTGGAGGGAGGACTGGGCTCAAGACCAGGACAGGATTTGGTGTTTAGAAGGTGACAGAGAACCACAGCCCGCTCTCTCTACCCCGCCCCCCAACACCATGGTGGGACCCTTGAAAAAGCCCCCTCCCCAGGGGGGTGAAGAAGGGCTGGAGGGACGTGACCCAGACCTTCGCCAGAGCCCGGCCATCATGCTCCATTCTCCCCTCTTG